AAGAGGAGACTGATTTTCCTTTGCTAAAGTAAGGAAACTTTGCTTTTGAAAGAAGAAAGTCATATACACCTAGGATGCCTCAGGGGTGAGTAAAACCCAGCCTAAATTTTAATTTTTGGGTGAACTAACCCTTTAATGTCTAAACCGCTGGCCACAAAAGAGTATATATATGAATTATTTCATTGTACTATATCCTTCTGTCCTCAGTTAGATGTATGTCCAGGTCAGTATTCAAAGTGTTGCCTTAAATGTTTTTAGTCCGTTATCAGACTCACTGTTTTGCAAAATGCAAACACAAACACTATGGCAAAATTCATTATCCCCATGTTTCTTTATCATGGACAGTCTTCTAAGCAGAGCTCTTATGTTTATTTTATACAAGACATTAAATGTGCACCTTGTGTGGCGATTAAAGTGTTAAGGTGGCTTAATGCTGAGAAGATGAGCAATTTAATTGTGCCCCTGCACCAGTGTAAATTATTATATTATCTGCATCACATTTTAAGAATTGCTTTCCTGCAACGTAAGTCCATATCAACAGCTAAATATCATTCTATCACTGCACTAGGCTCTATTTAATCGGTTGGTACCCTTGACTGGAGGTCAGAGGAAGTTTTCCCCAGTTCAGATCAACAGACTTGAAGTAAGAATAATGTTTGTTTGTTTGTTTTTGTAATTTTATATCCTCCTCTCTAAGATTTACGTTCGTTTTGCTCCTGCATTGTCATGCTTTCTGTAATTTTATATTTTTGATGTGCCTTGTACTGATAGAAACTAGGTATAAAGAAAACTGACCCCAGCACGTTAACAGAAGAGGAAATCACACGCTTCGTCAGGCTGGATATTGACCCTGAGTCCATAACTTGGCAGCGAGGTATGATAAATATTCATTTATCAACGTGTATTGTTGTTTTCATTGTTCTTATACTATAGAGATGAATGATCTGAAATTTAAAATTAAATGAAAGCTGAGTGCATCTTTAATACTAGATCATTTGTGTAGGTTGCTATTCGTTCTGATGTTACTGAAAATTACACATTTGTACAGTATATACACATTTTGATGAAATGTAAATCTTCTTACATTTTTTTTTATAGTGCTGGACACAAATGATCGTTTTTTGAGAAAAATCACGATTGGCCAATCTCCAACTGAGAAGGGATTCACCAGAACTGTGAGCATCACACATTACCACATATTACTAAATGCTTTACATACTGATGAATAAGTAGACTCAAGAGACTTGATTATTTAATTTTATAAAGCCTGTTCAAAAATAAACTGCATAACATTTATAATGCCAAAGATGGTTGTAGCTTCTAATAGGCAAATGATTCAGGCCATTAAAACAGCTTTTTTTGTTGTTGTTAGGAGTAAAGTATTTTATGCACAAACATTGTTCAAATATTGTTTGTTCAAACGTTACGTTTGTCTAGCCAGACGCAGCACTCATGCCACAAGACACTGCAATGGCCAAAGATGTCCACCTGATTAACATATGCAGCAGAAGAAATATGTTTTTGTGTTCTTGTTCAAAGAACTTATGAACTTTTTAATAGCTCAGGAGTTACAAGTTAACATTTATTTCTTTCTCATATGAGCCATGGGAAAGTGTCTTGTCTTTCTGCAGTATCAGTATCAGATGTTATCAGCCTGTTATCATTGAACTGTCAGGAATCTTTTACCTTGCTATTCAACGTTCCTTGAGGGTATAAATAAAACTGACTTGACAGTTGAAACGGACAAAACATTGCATATTTAATCAGTTGTAATGACAAGAAAACCAAAGCATTTTATCTTATTCTGTTAGCAGGCAATGCCCAGCAACTTTTTTTTTTTTTTTTTTGCAGGCCCAGTTTGACATCACTGTAGCCAGTGAGATTATGGCAGTTTTAGCTCTCACCACCAGTCTGGCTGACATGAAGGAGAGACTTGCAAAAATGGTGGTGGCCACCAGTCGCAGTGGTCAGCCTGTCACCACCGAGGATTTGGTGTGCTGCTGTCATATGTCTCATTTTATCTCAAATGAAAATGTCTAGGTGTTCATCCTGTGTTGATTCTGTAGTGTTTGTGTCTTAGGGAGTGTGTGGAGCTCTGACAGTACTCATGCGAGATGCCATCAAGCCAAACCTCATGCAGACACTTGAGGTGAGACGAATTGTCCTGGTTGTGTATATTCAAGTTAATTTGCAAATCACCTAGAACTAAATAGGCCTTCATAGATAAATTATTCCTTATTCATGCCCAACTCCACCAGTTGCTTAAATCAGTTTCCCAGCTGTTTTCTTGTCACTTCTTCTCTGGTGTTTTAGAGGTGTGTCTTAAGTCTTTGTATGAACACTTGTTTAGGGAAACCCTGTGTTTGTTCATGCTGGACCTTTTGCAAACATTGCACATGGAAACTCTTCAATCTTGGCAGATAAAATTGCTCTGAAACTAGTTGGACCTCAGGGATTTGTGGGTAAGTTAAACAAATCAAAACCACCTTTTTGTTATTGGCATAATTTAAATCTATCTGTAAATTGAAGTGCCAGCATAACTTACAAACTTTGTAACTAAAGTTATTTAACTAAAAAGGTAACAATTTAGTTTTAAAATTCATTGTTAATTATTAATTTATGTAAATTAGTATGAGTTAGGGTTAGGAAAATTATTTGTTTGATTTTCATAATTATAGCATTAGTTTATATATTTTTTTCCTTTTACAAAAAAAAAGAAGAGGCAAATAAACACCCACGTGACTTTAAATCAGCATACTGTATACAGACGTCAGTATATTTTATGCAGTATTCACATGCTTGAGTTTTCTTACACCACGTGTGTCGATGTTGCAACATTTTTATGCTGTCTGCATGGGATGCACCAAAGCAAATCTTTCAAATCCATTTGGCCTGATGTTGGAACTAGTGCAAACACAAGTCAGAAATTTACTGAGGTATCTGTTTACTGTCAGTGACTCACGGTGCAGTGCCGCTCACATCTGGTAGAGACAGGGTGTTAAAGTACTTATGGGACATATTAATTACAAAATTGTGCAAAAATTTAATTGTTTGGTAGTCTTGGATCCCATCAGTGTGAATTCATAAAGGGTTTATTGTTTTCTGCCAGTCACTGAAGCAGGTTTTGGAGCAGATATTGGAATGGAGAAATTTTTCAATATCAAGTGTCGCCACTCTGGTCTGAAGCCTCATGCTGTGGTCTTGGTTGCCACAGTTCGAGCACTTAAGATGCATGGAGGTGGTCCAACGGTGAGTCTGAGAATACAGCACAGTAATTTATTTACTTTTTCATGTAGATTGTCACTTTCTCCCACTTAAACATATAAATTTGTACAGGGAGTTGATAAATGTGCATTGCATTGTATCTTTTCTGTAGGTCACCGCGGGCACGCCTCTGCCAAAAGAATATATTGAAGAGGTACTCTAAGATCGTTTAATGGTTTTTCTTGCTAGTCTGTGATTTTTATAGATAATGTAGTCTAGTGATGTGAGTAGCTAAAAATGTAGGTGTTCTAAAACTTTTTCACTGGTATTACCATATGTATAAATAAAGTTTTGGGAGTGGCAGCTGCATTTAACTAAAAGTGAATCACAGGAGTCACTCCAGAAACATTTCCAAAACGTAATGTTGTACTGATAAATTTGGTTTGAACTCTTGCAGAATCTGGCACTGCTGGAAGCCGGCTGTAGTAACATGAGGAAGCAAGTGGAGAACGCTCAGCTTTTTGGGGTTCCAGTAGTTGTGGCTGTCAACGCTTTCAAGTAAGATGGCACCTGCTGATTAAATCTGCACAATACAGATTTTAAAAATAAATTCATCAGCTTTATGCAGAGTAGGGCAAGTTAAGGGTTTTTAATGTCTATCAAAATTCCTAAAGCTTTGTGTACTGACTAGTTTGTTACTATTATACAATAGTTTACGATGGACAGAAAGTAACCCAAAAAATCAGTGTGGTGCCATAACAACATCTTTGTCACTACTGCTGCATGGGTGGCCCCACACTTGCTTTTACTTTTCATTGCTTTTTAATAGGGCTTGTGCTAATAGAATTAATTCAATGAATTTTGTCTCTGACCTGTATGTTCATTTCATAAGGAATTTTCCTACAGTCAGAACAAATCAAAAATCTTAAAGCGTACCTATTATGCAAACTTCACTTTTACATGTTGTTTGAACCATAAATGTGTGTTGGCAGTGTGTGTACACAACCACCCTATAATGATAAAAATCCACCCGCTCCTTTTTTTTAATCTGTATAAATCATGAGCAGTTTCTCAGAGCTTACTGATCACAGAATCGGTAAAGTGTGACATCACACTTTACCAGCCTCACCCACGATAGTTGACTGACACAGCCGTATTAGCCGTGACCCCGCCCTGAGTCAGCCGCACACACACTATCTGCCATGTTAATCTTCACGCCAGAGCATTTAAAAGCAGCATTCAAGTAAGAAATGTCTTCTTATTAGAGCTATAGAAGTTGTTCAGTCCAGAGCAGTGAGTGATTTTCTGCTTTTATTTTATTGTTTGGGTCATATTAACAGCGTAGACCCAAACAGCAGTCAGTATAGGTACTGTATATTATGCTGCTGTCACTTAATACACCGATCTAATATAGACATTCGATTTCTTTCCCAGCTGTTTAACTTCACAGACATTAACGGACTGTGTTTTTGTAACTTAAGTGTGTTTTTAACATAAACTTGTGTGTGAAAGAGAACTTTTAGTACTCACATGCATGTGACAGCCGCTCTCTGTTTGCGTGCTTCGGATGTGTGCGTCCAGAAAAACGTATATCAGAAATGTAAACTGATATGGCTTTAAACCCCATTATTTCAGCGCGATATACATGATAATCAAAACCAAACAGATGTTTTTTGGCAGAGATCTGAGATGCAAGCTAAAATTGCACAGCCCTGTTCTGGGAAAGGGGGCGGGGAGCAGCAGCTCATTTGCATTCAAAGAGAAATGGACTAAAACGGCCTGTTTCTGCTTCCACTCAAAATAGACATTTTCAAAATGATATAATAAATGATCTGTGGGGTATTTTGAGTTGAAACTTCACAAACACATTCTGGGGACACCTGAGATTTATAATACATCTTGTAAAGAGGGGCATAATAGGTGCCCTTTAAATTACCACCTTTGTGGTGCATGTCAGGACAGCCACAGTTGCACTACAGGGCACTACACCCCTCTAAATACATAAGGAAATCGGGCAACAGAATAACTATCGAGCCATTCCCACAGAGCATGTTCTTGCATTCAAAACACAGTGGTTGTTTAGTATAAAATGCAGTGGTCTCAAGATACTGTTTTCTTGAGTACAGTTTTTTTTTAACTGCTTCTAGAGTAGTTAAGCCAATATGAAATCTTCTGAAACCCTACAATAAGTTGTGAGGAAAATAAATTGGTAAAACTTTAGATTAGCGAACACTACTCACTATTAACTAGTTGCTTATTAACATGTACATTACTAACATTGGCTGTTTATTAGTACTTATATAGCACATATTAAAGGAGTAGTTCACTTCCAGGATAAAAATTTACAGATAATGTACTCACCCCCTTGTCATCCAAGATGTTTATGTCTTTCTTCAGTCGTAAAAAAATGTTTTTTGAGGAAAACATTTCAGGATTTCTCTCCGTATAATGGACTTCTATGGTGCCCCCGAGTTTGAACTTCCAAAATGCAGTTTAAATGCAGCTTCAAAGGGCTCTAAATGATCCCAAGAAGGGTCTTATCTAGCTAAACTGTTGGTTATTTTCTAAAAAAAAAAAAGTACAATTTATATACTCAAACGCTCATCTTGTCTAGCTCTGCGTGAACTGTTTTTTTTTTTTTTTCGGTCCAAGACAGTTAGGGTAGGTCTAAAAACTCCCATCTTATTTTCTCCTCCAACTACAAAATCGTCCTACATCGCTGCAGAAGTACCGACCCAGTGTTTACAAACTGAACATGCAAAGATCAAATGCCCTTTACAAAAAAAAAAGTGTCAAAAAAGCGATTTAAAACGATAATTATCATTTCATAATCATGATCATTTATTTGAGTAAAGTGCTTGGGATAGATAATGAGTATCATTTGCGAACTGAGTTTCCAGACCATGTTAAACAAACTGTTGTATAGCTCATGTGCCATTCAAACTGAATCTTGCCATCTCATGTGTGCAGGACAGACACAAAGGCTGAACTGGGTCTAATCTGTAAACTAGCCAAAGAGGCAGGAGCGTTTGATGCTGTGCATTGTTCTCACTGGGCTGATGGAGGCGCTGGTGCTGCAGATCTGGCTAGAGCAGTGCAAAAAGCAGCAGACTTACCCAGCAGCTTCAAATTTCTTTATGACATTGAGGTAAAAAAAAAAAAAAGAATGTTAGTGGTGTTGCATTATCATTTGTATAATAAATGTATCGGTTTTAATTTGCAGGGCGGTATGTGTTACACACAATATTAGAGGGTTTACTCTGCAGTCATATTTTACAGATGTACACATTCATACAGTTTGCTAATTCATTTCTGTTTCAGTTACCTATTCTTCAGTTACCTATTACCTATCTTACAGTTACCTATTGTAGACAAGATCAGAATCATTGCGCAGAAGATCTATGGTGCAGATGACATTGAACTTCTTCCAGAGGCCCAACACAAGGTGGACCTGTACAGCAAACAGGTATGAATAGCGCATTGATTGTCGCCTGTAAAGTAAAGCAGCATGGACCACTTTTACAGACTTCTATGACTCATTTCCACAATTATTAACATTGTTTTTTTTTGTATTTGTTGTGGTTTCCATTTACCACTGTTGGAAGTTTCTCCCCTTCTGAAACCCTGCAAATGTGAAATGGATCCATTATACTTGAAAGCAAACAAGAAGGTAGCTAGCCGCACACTGAATCCAATAAAGACTGGAAAAGTCTAGCAAAACTTTTTTTTATTTTTAAAAATTGCATCATGCAGAGTGCATGTGAATTAAAAACAAGTGGACACGAGCAAGCAGACATTTACGCACGTTGCTATCTTCAGTGCTCGCTTTACAATAAACATTCACCCTTTTTCTAGTTAGATTAACAATTAAGGGCAATCAGCTGAATTCAATTATCAAAAGCAGAACTCCAAGAGAGTCTGGTCATTAACATATATGACAGAATTTTACAAGTATACAGCTACAATAGATGAAATAACAGAAAAATAGAATTCTATGTTATTTCATCTGTTGTAGCTGTATACTTGTAATATTCTGAAAATAGCAATCTGCTGAAACGTCTGCTTGCTCGTTTCCACTTGTTGTTAACTTACATGCACACTGCACTTTCTGCACAATGCAATTTATAAAATAAAAAATGTTTTGCTAGAATTTTTCAGTCTGTATTGGATTCGTTGTGCGGCTAGCTACCTTCTTGTTTATTTTCAAGTATTCCCTTGACTCTATGCACCTGCAGTAAAAGGATAGCTTTTTTCCTATTTGAAGCACTACAATTTTTCTTTAGTTTTTAAGGATCCATTATACCCCATTTTGTACTCCCATCATGGCTGAAAAACAGGGGTTGGATAATGGATGTAGGACTGGGGGGTGTATTTGTGTCTCATTACAGATCCTTAAACATAAGGTTGCCATTATGTTTATAAAGTTTTTTTGTCTCCCTCAAGGGTTTTGCAAGTCTACCCATATGTATGGCAAAAACTCATCTGTCTCTGTCACATGATGCTGAAAAGAAAGGTGTGCCTACTGGATTTGTTCTTCCAATTCGTGACATTCGTGCCAGTGTAGGGGCAGGCTTTCTCTACCCACTGGTTGGCACAGTAAGTAGCGTAATATGAACATTCACGTTTTTACTAGTGTTGCTTTCGTCAACGAAAATTATGACTAAATATCGTCATCAACGAACCTTTATCACGTGACGAAAACGAGACGAGACGCAACGTAAATGCTGGTCATGTGACGATGACTATAATTAAATGTATAATGCAATATTGTTGACGAATAAAAACGAGACTAAATGTGGTTTACAAAATAAAAACTATGCTAAAATGTCTCTTCATTTTCGTTGACCAAAACGAGACGAAACGAAATGTTATAACGTTATTTCGTCTCGTTTAGTCGAGTTATTATTATTATTTTGCAGTATTTCTGTTTCCTGTGTCTCACTTCAGGGGCTGCATCAGGTCGCACTGCGCAGACGCAGGCGACGTCACTTCCTCAAGCCCCACTCGCGGCATTATTTAGACCAGTGTTTCCCAACCGGGGTGCCGTGTAAAAAAAAAAAGCCTTTTTTAATATTTTTAAATTGCTAAAATGTTCAAAAAAAACATCTATTATATAATATCAATTTCTGATGTCGCCAATAATTAGAGATACACAGAAATTTCGGCTGCCGAAAAA